TGATAATATTCTGGTGGTCTTCATCATGTTTCAATAGTCAATATTCTAGTGCTACCTGACAGTATTCCATTGCTATTCATAAAGTTTTCAGTGACTAAATATTTGGAGGTAGTCAGTCTCTCCTTCCTAGGCTGTTTTCTTCTGGAAGCTCAGCTGAAACCTGTCCACCACGGGTGACTCTGCTGGTATTTAAAATACTGGTGGCATAGCCAGAATCACAGCAACACACAAGCCACTACAGTAAGAGAAACTGACAGATTAGCGGTGGTGGTCACAATATAAGTATATCAAATGTCAGTTTATCCCTACCAGTTTAACACACTAGCAAACATTACACAGAATCCCTGAGTGATCCTAACTGGCATTAGTATTCACGTAAATAAGATTTATTTTCCAAATTGGATCATTTCTACAAAACAGCTGGATGAATTTCTGAGGTTCCCAACCAGTAATCAGTAGGGTCTCTTGTTTTTGTTAAGTGCCATTGAGTCGGTTCTGACCCATAGTGACCTGAAGTAGTGTTTTCAAGAATCAGTTATTTAATTCTTGAGTATATTTAGCTAGCTTTTTTCTTGTTAGGGACTTACACCAGCTAGCTTTCATGACTTTGTCTGATCTCATCCCAGAATTAAGAATGTCATCAACTTGCAAGCTTTGCTTTCTTATCCTCATGGAAAAAGTGGAGATCAAGTATCTAGCAGATTTTTTTCTTTTTCTTTTTCTTTTCATAGAAATGAAAACAATTTAATTTCCTATGACGCTATAGGATAAGCACTAGACTGCTTGCTAACCAGGATAACTACAAGGTAGACAGTTCAAAATAACCAGCTGCTCTTTGGAAACCCTGTACAGGGCCGCTGTGAGTCGGAACCTACTTGACGGCACTTAACAACAATATATGTATGTGAAAGTTGGACAACGGATAAGGAACACCTTAGAGGAATTGATGCATTTGAATTGTGGTGTTGGAAAAGAATACTGAAAGTCCCATGGACTGACAGAAGAATAAACAAGTAAAGTCAGAGTGCTCCTTAGAACTGAGGATGACAAAACTTTGTCTCTTGTACTTTGGACACATTGTCAGGAGGGACCAGTCCCTGGAGGAGGACATCATGCTTGGAAAAGTCAGTGGAAAAAAGGAAGACCCTCAATGAGACGGACTGACATAGTGGTAGCAGCAGACCATGGTGAAGTACCGGGAAGTGTTTCGTTCTCTTGTGCATTGGGTTGCTGTGAGTCTGCACCAACTCAACAGCATTTAACAACAATGACACATTTTTCTAATCCCATGGGGTTTTACTTTAAGAAATTAGAGAGTGTGCACAGTTAAACCTGAGATATTTCAATTGTTATTGGACTATCAACTTCTATTGAAGTCTGCTAGAGAAGTTTCAAAGGAGTCCTGGTGTGGCGCTGTGGGCTAATGCGCCAGACTGCAAAGCCATTTGAACTTCAAGGTCGGTGGTTCCAGCTCATCAGCTGCTCCTTGGAAACCCTATAGAGGGCGGCTATGGGTCGGAATTGACTCAACAGCACTTAACAACAACAATACCTATGATATATCTGGAAAAAAGCAATCTTGTCTTTTTTTTTCCACTTATTTTCAGTTTTTGAGCAGTCTGTACACGCTTTCTGCTTTAGCTTAACTGTGAACACTTTCTAATTTCTCTTAGAGTAAGATTCCATGGGATTAGGCAAATGTGTCATTGTTGTTAGGTGCCACTGAGTCATGCCAGACTCATAGCAACCCTATGCACAATAGAACAAAACACTGACCAGTATTTCACCATTGTCTGTTTCTAGCACTGTGTCAAGCAGCTCTGGTAGCATAGTGGTTACAAGTCA